TTTTGCACTTCAATTGCGTCTTAAATAACCATTATTGAACCCAAGTACAACAATTTTTTTATTAATTATAAAAACAAAAGAAAAAGTTACAAAAAAAACCTGGGACTTTCTATTGTTCTATTTTCTTTGATTGAGTGTATTACTCATGATCTATAAATGTTTTTGCAAACAATAAAATTTTATAGTTTTTGAAAAAACCAATAAATAATTAATAATAAATTAAAACGTTTAGATAATTGTGACACATCAATTTTGATTTATTTTTAAAAATTTACTTTTCTTTCAGAATTATGTGTTTAAATATTGATTGTAATGCGTATCAATTAAAGGAAAAATAATTTTATTTATCTAAGAAAGCACATGATTTTATATGGAATGATTTGACAAATACTGATCTGAACAAATATATAATTTACTTTACAAATCATAACTTCCATCTACTTTTTTGTGGTTGATCAACTGTTTATCTACCAACATTTAGTATCTGGACTTATCAGTAATATAAAGTTATATCTACATATGTATTTCAAATAACTTTTGTAAAATTTGTGTATAAGATTTGTTCTCCGACTCTTAATTGTTCAGATTTATTGACACCATAGATACAGGTTGTACGCTTTAGAGAATCTGTGAGGCAAATATTATAATCCTATGCTATATAATCAAGATGCTGACAGTCGATCGTCCACCGAATCAGAAAATAGAGAGATGACAATATACGTCCCTGGTGAACTCCAGTTTTCACCAGAAAAGGATTAGAAAGTCGAAATTTATGTCAAAAGTACCATTCGGCTTTATCATAGCTTTCGTTATCAGAGAAAAAAATTCTCAGATATACCTCTATAATGCCAATCATATAAATCTATAAAAAATGGGTGGAGCTAGTAGTACCATCCCAGGAAAAACATACATTGAAATGTAATGAGTTAAAAAGCTAATAAAACCTCTTTGCACTACTTCTTCATTAGTATTTTAAGTCATCATTTTAACATGGTGATGTCATTGGAGGCAAGTACTTCCACGCTCTCTTACAAATATATAGTTAAAGAAGTACTTGCAATTTCTCTTACAAAGAAGTTGTCTAGTAAGTTGTTTTGTTTTTTAATAATAACAAGTGAGAGTGTTATATTCGGCTGTGCCGAATCTCATATACCCACCATGAAACCGTATGCCGTAGGAAGATTTATGTTCCTATAAAAGTTTCTTAGATTTTGAGTCGTAAGAAACTTTTTATGTCATATTTCATCTCTATACTAGTGCTTTGTAACCAGTAATGAGTGTTAAAGTAATTATCTGAAGGGGACCTTATATGGGGGGTAGGGACAATTATGAACAACTTTACATACATTTTGTTAGAGAGGATTTTGCTCAAGAGACTTACTTATGTCAAATTTCATTGCTATACTAGTCGCTAAGACGCTAAAGTTATTTTTTGAAGGGAACCTAATATGGGGGGTTGGGTCAATTATGATCCGATCCACATAAAATTTTATAGAGAGATTTTGGCTCGCATGGAACTTATGTGTATCGAATTTCATCGATATACTTGTATTTTTAAGAGAGTAATGTCATTTTCTGAAGGGGACCTTATAAGGGGGATAGGGTCAATTATTGACCGATCCATATAAAATTTGGTAGAGAGATTTTGACTCGCATGAAACTTATGGGTGTCGAATTTCATCGCTATTCTTATTTTTAAGCAAATAATGAGTGTTAAAGTCATTTTCTGAAAGGGACCTTTTATGGTGGGTAGGGTCAAATATGGACCAATCCAGGTTGGTAGATTTTGGCTTATATGAAACTTATTTATATCGAATTTCATCGCTATACTACTTTTAAAACAGATATGATCGTTAAAGCTGTTTTACGGTGGTCCACTTGTATGGAGGCTATCTGAAAACGTAGACCGATATTGCCCATTTTCAATACAAAATAAAACTTATCTATAGAGAATATTTTTTGGAAAATTTCAACCCTCTAGCTCATTCCGTTCGGACTCTATAGTGCTGTCAACAGACAGACAGACGGACGGACATGGCTAGATCGTCTTAGAATTTAATAAGGACCTAGAATATATATACTTTTGTGGGTCTATGACCAATATTTTGATGTGTTACAAACGGAATGACAGAATCAATATACCCCCCATCCTTTTTGATGGTCAGAGTCATTCAGAATACGAACCAAGGACTTCGGTTTATTAGTCAAATGTTCTACTCACTGCACAACCTCAAACTATAATTGATGAATATATGCATTCTAAAATCTTTTTTGTAAGGCAATAATTTGAAGATGCAATAGCTGAAGCAGTTAGAGATGAAGTTATATTTATTGCTTCCAAATCAAGATTGTTTTTGCTGGGTATGTACATCTCCATTTGTTATAATGCTTCACAACTGTCTTTCTTCTCGTTCTTGGGAAGTAGTTATTTTCCCAAGTTTCTATAATAAGAAACCGTAAAAGTTCAGTAGTGAGGGCTGTGTTCCACTTATAAATGTAACAGCTGCCTTCGAATTTGTAACTTGTTTGATTACTGCTGTTATTTCTGACTAACTTTGGGGGTGCAATTCTAATCCTGTGCTCGAAGGAATAGATTTTCCTATAATATCGCACGTAACGCCGTTCTGTACGGTTTAAAAATTCCGTAACTAGTAACTTCCAATTGAGGATAGGGCATCGTTCACCATACGGAATGATGCAGCATATATATGGTTTCTTTAGTTGTCCCCGATGATATGGTTGTTTAGTTTGCCACTAGTCGATTAGGCTTTTACATGGCCAGTAATCATTAAACCTTCGTCGATGTTTACAATATAATTTTCAGAATATAACATGATGAATATTCTCCACAGTTCGTCCATCAGTCCTTGCTTAGGCCGCCGATGTTAGGGTCATAATATTATACGTTCAACTTTCAAGCCGATGTAGTGTCATTGCATGATATGTAAAAATTACCAAAGAGTCTTTCTTATTAAATGCTGTTCAAATTAGTTCCTGCTAGATTGGAGATATATCTTCTTTGAATTTCAATTTATACTGGTATTTTTAGGCTTATCATGAAAGTTGAGGTCATATTTTAATGCGGCTATGGATCTATAACATCAAATATAACATTTCTAATTTGTATAACATTTTCATATGATTGCTGCTTAATAAATATATTTAAAAATATTTAAGAAGAATTATGAGTGTCACTTATGTGGGATCTAGAGGAAATCATGGACTGGTGTTGCCCGTTTAACGAATAAACATTATCAATAGAGAATATTTTGGAAAATTTCAGTCCCGTGTAGTTATTTAAGCGAAATTATGAGGGTGTTGCCCGTTTAACGAATAAACATAATCAATAGAAACAAGTAAGAAATTATAGTCGGGCGAGGCCGACCATTTAATACCCTATACCTGTTACAAAAATAAAATATGATTTAGTTTCATAATAAAGCATTTAAGTTGAATTGTAGCTTGTCTCAGATATGTATACTAAAGCCATTTATTGTTGAATAAAATTGTGGACATTTAAGTTAAATTTTTAAGGGGCTTTGTATAAGAGCTATGGTCAAATGAGACCCTATAATTATAAAATTCATGAGAGTCATAATGGCTAGAACTTGGGGTCTAGGTGAAATCATGAACCGATGTTAACCATTTTCAATAGGCTTCGTCTCCCGTACCATAGAAGATCATGTTCCAAATTTCATTGAATTATCTTCAAAATTGCGACCTGTAGTTTGATTACAAGGTTTACAAGCTCTATTCAGGGGCTCAGTTGTATGGGGGCTAGGTGAAATAATGGACCGATCTTAACCATTTTCAATAGGGTTCGTCCCTGGGACAATAGAAGATCATGTACCGAATTTCATTGAATTATCTTTGCGACCTGTAGTTTGATTACAAGGTTTACATGGACGGACAGACAGACGGACGGACATAGCTAAATCGACTGAGAAAATGATTCTTAGCCGATTGGTATACTTCAAGGTGGGTATAGGACCAATATTATTGTGCGTTACAAACATCAGCACAAACCCAATATACCCTCCCCACTAAAGGGGTATAAATATTTATGGAAAAATTCAGTACCGTAGTTATTTCCAAGTGGGTGCTTTTAACACACAAATAGGCGGCCACTTCAAGAACGTTTTAGAATCTAATAAGTAGCCAGAAATGATGATATCAGTTTACACTATAATTTTGAGCTTAAAGCGTCCAATCAAGAAGGAATTGAAATATAAATAAAATGTTCTCCCAATTAACCATAAAATGTAATTTTAATATTAAGAAAATTTATTTTCAATAACAAAAGTTTGGGATCACTTAAAGTTTTTTTTTTTTAAATATATGAGAAACTTAAAATCAGAATAATATCTCTTAGTACTGCTATATATTTGAGCGGAACTGTAGCTTATTTTTGCCACTAACGGGGCTTTCTAATTTATTTGCTTTAAATTTACCATAAATTAATATAGTTAAATCGTGTGTGGCTAACGGTGATAAAAATAAAAATAAATTTTAATTCAAAAATCAGTTTTCAAATTATTATTTCTACTCTCTTATCGCTAAAGTTTTTTTCTTTATAGAGATAAAAATATTGTTTATCTAATAGTAATAACTGATAAGAGAATATTAAGGGTATTCACCACAAAGTCATAAATTTTATGAAACGAACAATCTTAAATTTGGTCGAAACAAATATAAATACAAGTTGGTAGAAAAGGCGGAAAATTTCATTGATTGATTTGATTAAATTGTGTGTGTGGCTAGAAAATTGTTCGTTGAGGAATTCTCGCGAGCTTTTAAGGGTTAATACTAAAAAACAAAAAAAAAAACTATGAATGTAGCGTAGGAGACTAAGACGCTTTTTTATTCAGAGATATCAGTAAATGATATTGACACTGAAAATATCTACCACAATAACAACAACAACAAGAGCGATAAAGAGTACTAGTTTTATCAACTGTTTTGTCAGGTTAATTAGACTAAGTTGTGAGTGAAGAGAATTATTTGTGTTAAAGACGGTGGACAGACAAGAACGTTGGTGCTAAAAAAAAAAAAAAATATTTGTTAAAACAATTATATATTTATTTAAAAAAAGTTAAATAACAATAAAAGTATTAGAAAAAATTTAAGTTTATAAAAATAGTGATAAAAAAAATTCAATTGAAATTTTACGGTGCCAGAAAAAGAGACTAAAAACATATAAAAGAAATTATAAAAAAAAGTTTTTAAAAAAGTTTATAAAATTTCTGTTGTTAACAAATTATGTTTATTAAATTAACAAAAAAATTTGTATAAATAATTAAATATTAATTAAAGAAAATGTCTTCATTTCAAAATGATCATGTGAGTGCAAAATTTAGTTTTTTTAATATTTTATTTTAAAAATATGCATTTTTTTGTATAAATTCCCTTTTAATGATGTGGCATTTCTTTTTTTTTTAATAATTATTGATTATTGTTTCTTATCAATAACTTTTTTACTTTTGTTTTATGATAAAATTGGAAAAAATAGAAGACAAAAAATGTTAAAACTGTAAAAAAAGAACGAAATCAAAACAAAAACTCATGTGTTTAAGCTGGTGATACTCCAAAAAAATTAAGGTGGCCAGGTGTGAATATGCAAAATGTTGAAAAGTTTCAACGAAATTTCATAAGTTTGATTTTATCAGATCGTAATAAGAGGAAGTAAAGGAATACTTCTAACCAACAGAAAACCTTTTTAAAAAATGTTGTCCCCTGAAATCCCATCGATCTGATCTATCGTGTTTAAATGTTTTTTAGGGTCCATACCTAAGTTCGTAAACTAGTCAATAGTGTACTCCATAGAAGGATGATTAGTTCAAAGACTAAACCATAGCCTGGATTATAAGCTAGGTCATACACTGGACCAACAGAAAACTTTTGTAATAAATTCTATCTCCTGATATCCCGACGATCGGATCTATCGTGTTTAAATGTTTTTTTAAGGACAGACGAGTAGTAGTCCATGCTAATCAATAGAGTACTTCCATTGATAATTGCGTATACTATAGTACGAAGATTAGTTCAAAGACTAAACCATAAACTAGACCATAAATTAGACCATAGACTATATCATAGACTAGTATATAGACTTGTAAATGGACTAATTCATAGCCTTGTCAATAGACTAGTGACTAGTCAATCGACTGTACCTATATCTTCAATATACTAGTCTAATACACAAAATAGTCAATAGTCCTAACAATAGCCTATTCCTAGATAAGCCAATACTATAGTCCCTAGACTTGATAATATACTAACCCATATGCGAGTCAATATACTAATCCATATAAAACTAGTCCATAGGCTAGTCCATGCAGTATTATACTCCATAACAGGCTTAGGCGGGCAATTACAATTACATTTGAAGTAATTGTATTAGAAGCATTACCAAGTACAATTACTTGGAACTGAAGTCTTGCCAATTAAAATTATTTGTAATTGTAATTGAAGTCTTGCCAATTGCAATTACTTGTAGTTGTAGTAGAAGTTTTGGCAATTACAATTAATTTGTAATTGAAAAATTTCTAATTACAATTACTTATAATTATAAATTTTAATCCTTATAATTACATATAATTTGTAATTAGCAATAACTAAATTACAATTACAAGTAATTGTAACTGGAAAAACATCAATTACAAAAACAAGCAAATGTATTGGTTATTGGTCAATCGCACATTAAAAAGTAATTGTAATTGGAAAAACATCAATTACATACGAATTGGAATTGGATATTGATCAATTACACATTACAAGTAATTGTAATTGACCATGTAATGAATCACTTTGTGTAATCATTACGGCCCATGCCTGCTCCTTAGATTAGAGAGTAAACTTTTTGATGAAAGTTATCCAATTTGACTAGAATTTTTAGCACAAATGCCGGTAATTAAAATTAATTCTTAATCAAATTTTAATTAATAATTTTTTTTCTGTTTACTATAAAATTTATTTACCAAAAATAACAAACACAATAAGTACTTCATAATGACTTGTAAATTAAAAACATACATACATATAAACATGGTTCTTAATCCTCTCTAGTCCCACATGTGTTTTTTGTTTAATCACAATCGTTTGATTACTCACATCAGATAATATATAAAACGATAAGCCGGCAACAATATTGTTCAAAATACTATGTATTTTATTTTATTTAGTTGCAAATAAAATATAATCATTGGCTAGTAAATTATTGAACTGTTATCAAAATGCAAATAATTACAATAACAATGAATCATTATAGTAAAAATTCGAAGTTGTCATGCAAAACTAATGTGAGACAGGCCAAAATAAATCGATGTGTGAAAAGAAAACTAGAGCGAATAAATACAATTTTGCATATGATTGTTTGGTTTAATGGTATTTTAGTCTGTGAAGTTGTTTTTTTTTTTTTTTTTTTTTTTTTTTTTTTGTTGAACGAACACTAGACTAGTATATAGGGTACAGAGTTCTAAATATGAATCACTTATTAAGGTCATTTAACTTAGATTAGGCAAACGAGACATAAACATTTCAAGGATGTATGTATATATGTAGATAAAACAATTATAATGATTAACATATTTTTTTATACCCATCACCAAAAATTTAACATGTCATTGCGTTTGTAACATATCGAAATATTGGTGTATAACCACAAAAGTGTATATTATATATTCCGGTATTTTATTAGATTCTAAGACAATCTAGCCATACTTCTCCACCTATCCGTCCGTCCATGTGTCTGTCTACCTCTTATAATCACAGAAAAGTCTAAATGGCTGAAATTTTCTAGATAAATCCTCTATTGATTTGATTGGTATTGAAGACTGACAATATCGGTTCACAATTTCACCCTACATAAGTGGCCAACCATAAAATATTTTAAAGAGTCATATAAGTGTATATTGAATAGGTTTTCGTACTTTCATAAAATTAGAAAAGGTTTTAATTAAATAATATTTCATATTATACATGAAATTTTCGTAAATATTACGAAAAAAAAGTAGTTAAGTATTTTGTAAAGTTAAGCATGGATTATTTACAGTAACCAACCTTATGTATAACATTTATTGACAAAACAGCCCCTTCGGAGCAATAATTCAGCATATGTACTGGGTGATGTGACGATGCATTAAGTATTGAGGACCACTTTTTAAAGGTTAGACATTACTTACCCTTTTCTGTAGTATGGCCCCTGCATGTGTTGTTTTTAGATTGACGCTTGGTGGTTGCCTTTCATTCCGTAGATTGTTTTTTCATAATATCGGGAAACTCTCCTTCTTACTCACCCATAGAGATTGGTAATGATTGAGTATGACTTTTTATACCCTACACAGAGAGAAAAAGTAATATACACTCCTGGTACCAAATTGACACCAAAGAGTTTTTAATGTTTCAATAACAACCGTTGTTAAAGTATATACATACGTACGACAACACTATGTCGCAACGTTGTCAACATTGCAACAATTCTTTGTCGAAATCTAAATTTTATACACATTCGTTGTCTTAATGTTAACAAACGTGGTACGCTCACTATTGACAAACAATCCGTTGCCAATAGTGAGCTTAGCACCTTTGTTAACATTAAGACAATGGATGTGTATTAAATTTAGTTTTCGACAACGAATTGTTGCAATGTTGACAACGTTGCGACATAGTGTTGTCGTACGTATGTATATACTTTAACAACGGTTGTTATTGAAACATTAAAAACTCTTTGGTGTCAATTTGGTACCAGGAGTGTATATTTCTTTTTCCCTCTGTGTACACTACAAAACATTGGTACTACACCCACCTTAAAGTATATCAATCGGCTCAGAAACACTTTCTGCCTGTCAGTCTGTGTGTCCATGTAAATCTTGTGCGCAAGCTACAGAAATAATTTGATGAAATTTTCGAGATAATTTGATGAAATTTAACACATACACTTTTTTAGACCCAGGGACGAAGCCTATTGAAAATGGTTAAAATCTGTATATTATTTCGCCTAGCCCCTATACAACTGTACCCCCCAACATCGTTTTATATACATCTAAATTATACTTCCGATTTTCCTAATAATCGATCTATATTTGGCCCTAGCCCCCATACAAAGTCCCTTTCGGAAAATCACTTGAAGGTCAAAATTCACTTATAAACACTAGTAAATATCACGCTGAAATGCTACATAAATAACTTTAATGTAAACGTATATCCCTCTACCAAAATGTATAAGGATAGGCCCATATTTACTCTTGCCCCCACATAACTCCTCTTTTGGAAAATCTCTTTTTTGTCAATAAATTGTTAAAATATTTCGGAATTAAGGTAAAAAATTTAAATGCTTTTTTATTAAAAAATAATCCACATTTTTAACATACGCTCTGATGTAGGTTATCATAAAGTCGGCCATGACCGACTGTATACTCTTACTTGTTTTCTTCGGCGAAGTTCTCGCTGCTGTTGCCATCTCGACAGAAATCATGTGGTACGCGATAGTGGTTGAGGTTTACCTATTCCTGTCAGCGGATTTATTTGGTTCATTTCCAACATCCTTAGTTATTAGTGGTATATTTGGGTCTATGTTTCTTGATGCTGTTGCCTTATCAACAGAGATTTGTAAACAGAGATTAAAAAAATATGCTAATTAGGAAGATAATGTTGCTGCGGCATCGCTCATGACAACGTTGATCCATTCTGGTACAGCAGGAACTTTTCGCTATTGATCTAACTAGTCCTCCTTGTCGGGGTATACATTTGGATTATTTTCGTGCTGCTGGTCGTTTCGCAACGCGATCACTTGGCAAGCAATTGTCGTCTAAGTTTATTACAGTAACGGTCACAAGTCCACCTTGTGGATGAAAAATATAATATAAGGTCATCAAGTCAGATACTCACATTAAACACACAGACATCTTGACTTCCAAAAGCTAGCATGTTATACATCAAGATGTTAGATATAGTTAAATCTTAAAAATCGAAACGAATATTCTGATTCCATAAAATTAACAAAGAGTGCTTTCTGTTTGTATTCTTCTCTACCTTGTTATCGAGCTATTACCAAAGCTGGCCACCCTTTTGAGAATTTAAACATTATTATAGAATTATTTTGTTAAATTTATTAATAGACGTTATTTCCCATGTCTTAAGTATTTAACTAACAATTAATTATGATTGTCTTATTAGAGTGTTTAAATTCCTATTATTTATTTGCGCAAATATTTGCTAAAAACATTAAGAAACAAGTGTTAAAAAAAGTTTTCTAAAAACAACAACAGTACATAAGCACAAAAATTTGATAAAGTTTTATAAATATAATTAATGACAATAAAATAGAAGACAATTTTATAAAA